GGCTGTCCCTGTCTCAGGTTAGTGACTGCTGTCCCCCCTCCCCAGGGCCCCCCAAGCCTTGCCTGTATTTATTGGCCCCTGTGGACCCCCCCCTGTCCCAGGAGCCCCCCAAGGCCAAGTGAAAGCTGCACTAGGACGTGCGTGAATGACGTATCTTTGGGTTTGTTTGTCGTCTTTGTTTTTGGGTTTGTTGGTCTTTTTTTTTTTTAATATAAATATTCTGGGTTTTGTATTTTTGTATATTTTAATCTTTAAGAAAAGAAAAGGAAAAAAAAAGGAAAAAAAAAAGGAGAGAAAGGACATAATTCCTGCAATTTATTCTCAGGTATTCAAGCAATCTCAGGGATAAAAATGCCTCTGTAGCCCAGTGCTGGACAGAGAGGAGGGTTTTTTCTAACAGCACAAAGAAATGATGAAGTTTGTACTGGAAGTGTAGATCTACCTCACTGGATGTTTGCTAGGTGGGCTGACGTGTTGTCGAGCTTTTCAAATGTGTTTTTTGGTATGTTTGGGATTTGTTTTCTCTTTAATTGTATTGTAGTGCTCTCTTTCCCTTCCCCATGCACTGGTGGAGGCGTTTGGGTCTGTGGATTTGTGTGTGGGGATGGAGGAGCCAGGCAGTGCCACGGGCAGGGAACAGGGAACGTGGGCATTGAGGGGGATGGAGAGCAGCCCCAGCTGCTCCCTGCCCTGCTCCAGTAGTTTAGGGTGAGGTGGTGGTCTCTTCTTGGGAGAGGGGGGAAGGGCTTTTTATTTTTTGTCTAGCAACGGGATCTGTACAAAACTGCTTCAGGAAAACAGCTTTAGTCTGACGGGGTAAATGCAATAGAGCCTTGGGGGGGGGGCTCTGGGCCTCCCCCCGGCACCTCGGCTGTGCCAGGGAAACTGCTGCCCCCCAATCCCTGTGTGTGCCCCCAGTTCCTGTATCTGCCCCCAAATCCCTGTATGTGCCCCCCTAATTTCTGTATCTGTCCCCTCAATCTCTGTATCTGCCCTCAAATCCTGTATCTGCCCCCAGTTCCTCTGTCTGCCCCCTCAATCCCTGTATCTGCCCATTCAATCCCTGTGTCTGCCCCCTCATCCCTGTATGTGCCCCCAGTTCCTGTATCTGCCCCCTCGTCCCTGTATGTGCCCCCTAATTCCTGTATCTGCCCCCTCGTCCCTGTATGTGCCCCCCTAATTTCTGTATCTGCCCCCTCAATCTCTGTATCTGCCCATTCAATCCCTGTGTCTGCCCCCAAATCCCTGTATCTGCCCCCTCAATCCCTGTACCTACCCCCCAATCCCTGTATCTGCTCCCTCAATCCCTGTCTACCCTCAAGGATCCTGTAGGACCTTCCTCCCCCTGCTCCCACATTAATGGTTTGGTGATTTCCCTGTCAGATGTCTTGTGTGTGTAAATGCCTCTGTAAACCTTTCCACTTTCTCTCAGTATTCTCCTTGGTTATTGTTTACAAAAAATAAGAGGAAAAAAAAAAAAAGAAAAAAAAAGGAAAAAAAATAGAAAATATCCAAAGCATGTACTAGGTTACGGAGCAGGGAGATGGAGGTGCTCTCCCACCCAGAGCTGCCAGGTGGGAGCTCTGTGACCATCCCCGCCCTGGGCAAAGCAAACAGGGAATCACTCAGCTTTCCCCCGGGGCGCTGGGATCTGAGAAAACAGGGATTTTTAACAGGGATTTTTATCTGTGCTGGGAAGCCACGCTGGAGGAGATGGGATTGATTCGCATCTCCTCGTGTTGGCCATTGTGGCTCTCCCCTTCTGCTGACAATAATTAACTCGATTGCTGCATCATGGCCCACCCTGCCCACGGGCACTATGCATGAGGGGACAGGGGAGCATGGGGCACGCTCAGGGTCCTGCCGTGACACGGGAGTGTTTGAATGTAGAAAATGTGAGAAATAAATGTAGAGAATGTGAGAAATAAAACAAAGACGTCCCTCACGAGGGGGTGTCTGCCCTGGGGCGAAAGCCTTGAGTCCCAGAAATGTCCAGAGGAGACGGAAGAATGTAATCCATGTTGTTTACTGCTAGCAACCAAAGTGTTCGTGTCAAACCCGTGAAGTTTTACAGGGTGGGAGGGAGGGGATGTGGGGTCTGTGTGTGTGTGTGGGGCTCAGGGTGACCCTGAGCAGTTACTCACACTTCCCAAAAACATTTCCTGCCGTGGTCCCTGCAGCGACACCCTCAGCTCCTGTTGCTGCAGGTTTCCCCCCCCTTCTTCTCGTTTTATTTTTGTTTTTGTACCAACTATGTAAAATGTGGGGTTTTTTTTCTTTTCTGGAAAAAAAAAAAATTAATAAAGACCATGGGCAATGGCTGCTGGTGAAGTTCTGTGTGTGATCACTTGTGGTTTTTTGTGTGGGTTGAGGAGCCCAGGGAATCAGATCCCACCTCCCCAAAAGTGCCCCAGCCCTGCCACAGAAACACAGAGCGGTTTGGGTGGAAGGGACATTAAAGCCCACCCAATAATCCCACCCCTGATATGGCAGGGACATCTTCCCCATCCCAGGCTGCTCCAAGCCTCCATGTCCAGCCTGGCTTGGGACATTTCCAGGGATCCAGGGGCAGTCACAGCTGCTTTGAGAACCCCCACGCTCACAAAGGGAGAGTTTCCTGCCGATCCACGCTGCCCTCTGTCCCTCACCATCTCCCCCTCCCCTCCCAGCTC